ACTTTTTTTTTTTTTGTATTTAGACTATTAAACTTGAGTATCACAAAGAAAAAGAAACGGTAGGTCAACTTAAAGGTTGGTATTTAAATTATAAATGCACACTCGACCTATTTCTTTTTAAACAATTACGTTTACTCTGTTCAAGGCACGGGAGCTACTCGAAGTAGAAAGTTACAAAGAGACACAGCTTATGCGTATATGTGGCGAGGATAACAGCAAACCCTACACTTGGACAGGTTAAGAACGTAATGCTCGGGGGAAACATTCTCTTGGGAGTTGGTTTCAAAAAGCAGCGGTTCGTGGGAAGTCACTAGCTCGAGTGGAACTTGCATCTCACCAATATAATAGAAAAGGAATGAGAGCGTTTCGTAGCATGGCGGGTCTTATCCGCAAGGGTAAAAACTGGAGGAATTAAGGAATATAGTTTATTTGAACGCTCTCCATGAAAATAGCGATAGGGCAGCGATAGACTTGTTTCATCTGTGAGAAAAGGGGTTTGCAGGTTAGTAAATAATTTGTCCCCTACAAGGACGCATTTGGATTTGAAAAAAAAACTGGAAAGTGAAGGCTGGGCATCTCCTGCCCATATATGTCAACAGTACTCTATTTTAGTATTCGTGTAAAAGTAGGAAATAGCAGGCAGAGTTACGTATTAACCTACATGTCAAAGCCAAGGTTTTTTTTTTTATATATTTGAACTTAAACTAACAGCCTTAGGTTGTCCGAATTTCTTCGATAAAGCATTTTTATTTATTAATTTTGAAGAGTTTTTCTTTTTTATTTTATTGTCAGAATATGAAATGCAAATTCAACCCTCGTGCTACAGGCGAATGCATTTTCTGATCTTTATTATAATGTGTAGCGAATTGGTAAATAGGATTATGCTTATTTACATATGTTAATTAGAAGAGAAATAAAGTGTATAGTAATGAAAGAGACAATGGAAAGTTGAACAACACAATACAACAATATAGTGTTTAAGTCGCTTTCGTGAACCAGAATTCGTCGAGACTTGGATTTGGTGTTTTGCAGCGCAAGCTAAGACTAAATAATTAAAAGACAACAGGGCAAGAGAAGAAAATTATATAACTGACCTCTTTCTAGCTTCGACAGGTTGCAAAGCCCATCTGCGTTAATGGGAAGACAAATAAGATCTCCATTAACAATGTTCTATTCGTCAAATGAAAAAATGTGGTATAAGAAAGAAAAAGTAACAAGTCATGAGAGAGCTAATTTCATCATGCAAAGGGGTCATAACACGGCCATTATATCAAGGGAAAGATGTGATGGAAGAAGATTTTGACAGAGAAGAAAGGATGAGTTGTTGAACGCCAAAAGACAAAAACTGGTTATTTTTCACCGGCAATGGATGGACACATGGTGTAACCGGGAACGAAAATTCGGCGAGTCGAGTTAAAATTTCGATCAAGGTCGTTGCATTCACTTTCGCACAAATACCTTTGTTAAAGGCATTAACCAATCTCTTCCTCATCTCCACCAGTTATCGGTAAAATAGCAGCGCACACTGTACTTGCTTTCTCCCATTAATTCAGGTCTTCAGCTGAGTTGCCGTATAAATTACAGGTTGGCTCTATCAGTGTTGAAGAAACACAAACGGGTCGACGCAGATAGACATGCTCGGAAGCAAGCAAAGCTGCTGAAGATGAGGAATCATATTAATTTAGAATGTCTTCGAAGTTGAAACAGCTCCGCTGAATGAAAGAACGGCGATCGAACAGACTTAAATTTGATAACATGCTAGCCAGTCGCAGTGATTGAAGAAATCGGTGCCAGTCGTCGAATAACATTGCAAATGTTCATATTTTCGCATACGGCTTTAGCAATAACAGCAATTTCAGTGTTGTTTTGGTATTGACCATTATTCCTGAATTGTCTCCATTTTGCCATTATTCTTGTTTACTTTGTTGTATCTGTCCTCGCAGATGTTAATATCGCCAGTTTGGTCGTCTTTTCTGTTTTTGTTGTCATAGGCCGATAAGTAATTATCGCTGTGTTTATGCGTGTCATTGTAAGAACGCTTTTAATCAGCCATCACCAGGAAGAAGAGGAACACAAACCTTGCTAGCCATCTTCACTGCTCCTGTCTTTCCCACTATTCTTTTACGCAAGAATATCTCTTCTCTTATGTTGCTCTCTTTCTATTTCTTTCGTATATATCTCCCTATTTATCCACTTTGTAAATTGCCTCTCTCCCTGCAAAACATTTACTTTCACTTTGCTGGATTTACTGCCATTTAGCCACTAGCAGTTATCTCCCTTGTTAGCTTTCATTTTATTTAATTTTTCTTTTTTGCTATCCTTCTTTGTTTTTTGGGGGTTTTTTTGTTTGTTTGCTTTTTATCTTCTTCTTTTCCCTTCCTTTCCGGTTTACTTTTTTTGTAACTTTCTTTTTTTATTATTCCTTTCTCCTTTCTTTTTTCTTTCCTTCCTTCCTTTTTCTTTCTTTCTTTTTCATTCCTTTTCCCATTCATTCTTTTTTATTCCTTTCTCTATTCCTTTCTATGTTACTTTTCGTACATTTTTATTTCTTTTTCTTTCTTTTCTTCTTTTTCCATTCTTCTTTTTTTTTCTTCTTTCTTTATTTCTTCCTACATTACTTTTCTTTTTTTCTTTCTTTCTTTTTTACTTTTTCATTCTTTCTTTATCTTTTTTTCCTTTCCTCTTTCTATCCTTCTTTTTTATTCCTTTCATTTTCTTCCTTCATTTTTCTTCCTTTTTTTCCATCCTTCCACGTTTCTTTCTTTTTACATTACTTTTCTATTTTTTATTTCTTTTCTTTTTTCTTTTCTTTCTTTCTTTTTTTTTTCCTCTTTTTTTTTTCATCCTTATTTTTTTATTCTTTTCTTTCCTTTCTTCTTTTTTCCATTCTTTTTCTTTCCTTCTTTCTTTCTACATTAGTGTTCTTTCTTCTTTCTCCTCGCCATCAGCTTTTCTCTTCCTTTTCAAACTGAACTCAAAACAATGTTTAAATGAAAGAAAACGCTATATTTTCGGATGTCGTGTTTGCCGTGGTGCCTTCCGAAAACCAGCCAAACTTCTCTGACAAAAAAATGGCTAAAACGAAATTAAAAAAAATCATCATTGCCATCATCCAAATGATTTTCAAATTGTTACTATTATGTTTTTCTCACTTTTTTTTCTCATTTTTTATAAATAAATATTCATGAATAAATTATACTTTGTTTGTCCTTTTGACTTTAAGAACATTCTCATTCTGTTTGGGGTTTTTTACTTACAGCTCTGGGAATTTTTTCTTATATTTATTTTTATTTTTTAATTATTTCTTCCCCAGGCAAGGAGATAATGCCACTAAGACGCAAATGGACTACTGGGAGTAAAAGAGGATGAGAATTCATTAGGATTTATGTTGCTGAAATCAACGCCTATCCTAAATCCAATCATTTATAATAAAACCATTTTACTTGTGCCGTCCAAAAATAACAGCAATATTTATACATAACTAGACTACCCGTGACCCGTTGGGCCACTGTCAGTTCAGGTTATAAAACATTGAAGTTGATTTCAGCATTAAGATATTGTCTGTTTGAAGAAAGTTGAAATTAAAAAAAATATTCACTGAAGAAACAAATCTTATTCACTTAAAATATTTTTTAAATCACATAAACTCAAAAATATGCTTAAAAATATATTTTTAATATGCCAAAAAATATTTTAAAATCATATTCAGTTGAAAATATATATGGCAAAAATATTTTTTAAATATTTAAAATATTGTTTGTCTAAAGAAAGCTGAAATCTCAGAGGTTGAAAGAGAGAGGTGAAAAGAGAGAGAGTTGGAAAGAAAGAGAGGTGGAAAGAGAGACGTGGAAGGAAAGAGGTGGAAAGAAGCTTGATTATGCACACCATTTCCTTCTCTCCCACCATTTCTACACGATAATAAATTTACATCTTTCTTTCCCCCACTCTCTATCTATTCGTGATCATGGTGGTAAACACACATACAAACAAGCAAACAAAGTTCACACAGTTTTAGTATTATAAAGATACAATATTTTAAAACAAAATGTTGCTCTGAAATGTTTTTATGATTCATAGTTCCTGAATATTACATTAAACAAATAGCATTCCATTTACTAAAGAATAATTGAGTTTCAAACCACACAAAGAAAAATTCTTCGTCACTACTTTGGCATTTTTTGTCATATACCGTACCTATCAACACTAACGGGTATGTCCCAACCCTCATAAATAAGTTTGGGTGCTATTGTAAGTGGGGGTAATATGCTGTATAAGTAGTCCATCACTAGCAGTGGTTTACCTACTTCACGCCGCTGGCGAGTATTGTATTTTGTTGATTTTATAAAGATTACCATTTCATTTCCAACCTCCGTTTTGGTTATTCCTTATTCAGTAACTATTTCTAGGTTACAACATTTTTATACTAAAGTACGCCCAATACAATGATGGAGAGCTACTCAAGGTAGAGGATTAAAGATTATGATGTATGAGAGGTGTGGTATAAATGAAAGAGTAGGTGAAGATTATGAGATAAGGAAGATATGTAACGATTAACTTTTGACATAAAAGTTTAAGATTGTAGTGCTTAAGGAAGCACTCACGCGGTAGCACTTCTTCAAGAAAAGCTGTCTGCGTGAAAACTTCTCCTTATATTTGGAATCCAAGGCGGGGAATGAAAGTGATTCAAGTCCGTTGAAGTAGCATGGCGTTTCCTAGTCGTAAAGATCTCAACTTGTAGAACTAAAGAATGAAAACCAGCTGAACTTTTGATACTGAAATAGCAATGGTGTACTGACGTCGTGTCTGTGGAAAGGAGCTTGCAGAGTGGAGAATAGCAGACCGCCACCCACCCACAAGACCGCGTAAATAGTTTTGAATATCAAGAATGGAAAGGGACAAATGAGCTGCTCTTTCTCTGTCTTACAGTCTTCTCTCCTTTCGTCTCTCTTTTCTATTTTTCTCTCCCCCCCCTCTCTCTCTCTCTCTCTCTCCTTTTAATTATTGAAACACCAGTTCCCGTACGATCACCGAAGTTAAACAACGTCAAGCCTGGTCAGACCTAGATGGGTGACCTCTTGGGAATACCATGAACTGTAAGCTTGGTAGTGTGATGGATAACGGCTCGGAATTGTTAATCGGAGAGCCGTGTTCCAATTCCTGTTAAGTTCGTTATATTCACATACGCGTAAATAACCTTAAGAAATGTATAAACCCACCTCTTCCCCTCTAAGCTATGGGTTAATTAGTAAGAGTTGTATCACTAAAGTAATATAAACTTAAAAAAAAAATCTTATGGTCTAAAACTATCTTCTGACTTTAAATAACCTGCAAAAGGTAGATAAGCCTTAGAAAGCGTATCAACTAAAACCTTTTAACTGTCTTTTAGCCTTTCTCTCCCTGTCTCTTCTGCTTCTTCTTTCTCATATCTCTCCTCTCTCTTTTTCCTATCTTCCCGTTGCTCTCCCTTTTTCTCTCCCTCTCCCTCTTTTATCTCCCTATCACTTCCCGCTTAGAATTGTTTTGAATCGCCTTTATTATTATTATTATTTGTTTTTGTTGTTGTTTTTGTAGTGACAGTTATTTATCTTCGTCTCTGTTTACAAGAAATGTTTGTGCTTTTTTCAGAAAGGTTTCGTTTTTCTCTATTGAGTAAGTCTAGTTCGGAAATTATTTTGCTTGGCAATTAAATGAACACGAGCGAGACAAGTTAGCTGGAAATTAGTTGGGATTCCAATGGCCTGCCATTTTCCCTCTTTCCTGAAAAAGGACGTAATGAAAATGTCTCACTCGTCAACGACAGGCATTTACCGAATCTGACTATATTCATCAAGTGTTCAAGTGTTAATTAAAAAAAAAAATGTTTCTTTCATTCCTTTCATTAAATGAATCTGTATATGCCCCAATCACATCCTCTCATTCTTATCCTCTCTCGCTCTTTCATTCACATTCCCTTATCTTCTTCTTTCTCTCTCTTTCACATTCCCTTCTCTCTCGCTCTCACTCTCTTTCTTCTATCAATACTAGATTTAAGGATTTATATCTTATCTATTTTCACCTAAGAATTCCTATTATCTGTTCATAGTTGCTCTACAAGAATGTCTAAATTAATTTAGCATGCAACTGTCTCCATTACATATCTTTTTTTCTTCCAGGCTCATATGTTTCTGGCTCTTGTTTTTCCTTAATTTTGTGAATGGTAGTCAATGGAATATTCATTTTTCTTTTTTCAAATTCTTTTCTATGATTCTGAAGCCGTATACTTTCACTGAAACAAAATTCCTTGAACAAAAATTTAAAAAAAAGTTCTCACGTTTGTTCTTTTCATTATAAGCCATTTTAACCACTTTCCTGTCTCTCGAATTAATTATTTTTTCCAGATTCAATTTTTTCTAGTTGTTGATTCTCTTTCTTGATTCCAGTGTCTAATTCTGTAAGTGGTGATCAATGGAATATTCAAATTTCCATTTTTCTGTCTAGATTACTTTTGGTGGCTTTGGAAATATGACTGTCATCACAAAGAGAAATGGCGTCCTGGGTAAGACCATAAACTACGCTCAATAGCAAGGTCTCTGATCAGGAGGTTTTGAGAAGTGTGGAACCACCTCTTAATTGCTGGTTTTCACAGGTCCATCCTGACCCGGGGTGGTAGCACCTGTTAGGGTCCCAGTTATGGGCAAATAGTTAACGCCCAAACTGTGATCAAAATACTATGAAAGTGTAAAAATAGGTTTTAATACCAGAAATACTTTGTAAAAGAAATTATTACCAGAAATAAATTTTTGAAGAAAAAAATTATTACCAGCAATACTTTTAAAAAAATATTACCAGCAATACAAGCAGATATATATTTTTAGAAAAATATATTACCAGCTATACATTATTTGAAAAAAATATTACCAGCAATAGATTTTTGAAGAAAAAATATGAGCAGCAATACATTTTGGGAAAAAAAAATATTAACAGCAATAAAAATTTTGTTGGCATTAAACAACCCATTCAGTTTGATATGCTGTAAAACAAACCAAACCAAACCAAACTATGCTGCTTCCATGGAGTCGAATCATCCTTATTTTCCCCGTATTTTCAATGTAAATTTTAACTTTTTCGGGGCTGAGATATGTTCACTTCACGAGCTATCAAATTTAAAATTAATAGGAGATAAAGGAAAAGAAAGAAGAGTTTGTTTTTTTATTGAAAACATGAGTTTGTTGAGACGTCTGTCAATTCTTGTTGCTATTACATATCTCCTCCACAGCCAATCCTGCTGCTATCGTGGCCTAAACTTACTACAATATGTTTCTATCAGTAGAAGCCATTTTATCCAGTTTCTTGTTATCTCGAAAATTTTTTTTTTTTGTTTTTTTTTTTCTAGATCCAATTTTTTCTGTTTCTATATTCTCTTTCTTGATTCTGGTGGGTGGGGGTGAATTCTGTGAATGATGATCTATGGAATATACGCATTTATCAACGTTCCATCTCAGGCTCAAAAATTAAAAATCTTTGAAAATTAAACCTAATTTATAACTAAAAATAATGAATTTAAACTTGCTACCGAATTAAACGCACAAAAACTGAACCCAAATTTTAAAAATACTAAGTTTTCAAATAGTAAGTTTTCAACCCTATGTTCGTGTGTCATCGATGAACTTTTGTTCAAAAGTAATGAAAAGGCATTAGTTCTTGAAAAAGGTCACCCCAAAATCGAAAATTCGATTCTACCATATACGCAATACGGTTAAAAATTCAAACTATTTCAGAAGCTTTATTTTTCAGTTTGCTAATGATGTAATTCGATAGTAATTTTTAACGCATTTAACAGTTTATAGATATAGCATAACATAGAATGTTACAATTTTTGTTTCTCTCTTCGTATATATTTTACGCGACTCAGCCTCTTTTCCATTTGTTCGTCCCCCATAGAAAGACATCGTGTAAACATCTCCCAAAATGAAGCCTTCACAACTAGAATACATTTCGTCGACCTGACAAAAAACTCATACAACTGTATATTTCAGTATCTGTCTATATTTCTGTGATGAGGTATTATGTACACTATTTACATTGTTCGGACTATCATCCTCATCTTTGTTGCTTTATTTATCACAATGTTTCAGCCGTTGTACGCTCCAGCCTTCTTCAGGTGGCTGGAATGTCGAACTGAACCCTTTATTTCGCTCGCTGGGTTAGACTGTTCTAGTTCAACGTACCATGCCTAATGGATGTCAGTTATCAGTTATCTCCTCTTAATTCCCCCTCTCCAGTTTCTTCTAAGGCGGTGGAGAATTTGGAGAGTTATATATATATATATACATATATATATATATATATAACAAAAAGAACTTGGAGAGTTATATATATCACAAAAAGAAATAAAAAGGGAATTCTACACAAACATGTTTACCCACTAAATATAATGTCCAATTATTTTATTTTTATCAATTTTCGAACTGTTAGGGTCCCAGCTTTTATAAAAAAAAAATTACCAACTCGACATATTTATAGTAGAATTACCAGCAATACATTTGTAATGCAGAATTACCGACAATACATTTTATAGCAAAATGACCAACAATACATTTTATAGCAAAATGGCCAACAATACATTTTATCTGTAGTTGGACAATTTTATATTGTGTTCAAAATATTTAGATTTCGGCATTAAATAAGCCATATAGGTTGATTTGCCGCTAAGCAAAATCAAACAATATTTTATAAATTCAATCTATGGCAAAAACGAACATATAAGTTAATTTAAGATATAAAATATTGGAAACACCGACCTTTATGCTACCACGGTTTCTACCAGAATTGCTTCATCAGGCAGTTGGTAGACCTTATCTTAGTACGATACACGACGAAATGGAGGACGGAAGACGAATTGTTTGATGAAACCGTGGCAACATAAAGGTCAGTGTTTCGAATATTTCATATCTCTCTCTCTCTCTCTCTCTCTCTCTCTCTCTCTCTCTCTCTCTCTCTCTCTCTCTCTCTCTCTGACCATGCTAAACGGAAAGCTGATCATTTTAAAATTTTCAGTTATCTGTTTTGGATAAGACTTGTTTTTTATGTCCATCGTCTCTGTCAAATTGAACTGAATTGTATTTTAATGAATATTGTCCCGAAGAAGGTTTATTAAACCGAAACGTCAGACGTCGACATTTCATTCATTTTAAACAACATAATTGCATTTTAAGTTTTTTTCCAATTTTTCTTCATATATGTATATATATATATATATATATATATATATATTTTTATATATATATATAAGAAAAGAAGGTTTTGTTCCAACGAGAGAAAAGTATGCATATTTTTTCCAAAATTTTTCTTTATTTTCCATAGTTTTATATATAAAATATATATTATTAAAATAATTAATTTTTCCTTATGTTATATTATTAGAAATATAAATATTTATATAGTTTATTATATATAAAAGAAAATAAGAGGTTGTAGTACTGGTTCCAACGAAAGAGAAAAAAGAAATGTATGACGCATGACCCAATTGATATTAAAAGAAGAGAGAAAGATTTGAGAAGTCAAAGCACCTAGCCTACTTTTGCATGGAAAGACACCTTATCAATTTGGATAAAGAAATTTTGGGAACAATGAAACAATTTTTAATCAGAGAAAAAGTGTCTTTGGGTTTTTTTTTTTGTTAATAAAATTTATTATGCTTTAGCGGGCTTTTCCATGAGAGAGAAAGCCAAAGTTTTACTACACGTGTTAGGTTCGATCAAAAAAGGTAAAAGCGGAGATTTTTAAACACCTGAATATTATTAATTTTCTAGAAAAAATGTTTTCAATGTTAAATATTCTCGATATGAGACATTCTTTGTTTTTGTTTTTGAGATGGATGCGCCTCCCCACCAAGGCACTAGTAATCCGAATGTCGAAATCAGTTGAGTTGGAGTTGAGTTTTCTTGGAATTGGCGGCCATCAAGTGAAGAGTTCTGTGACGAATCCTTCCAGCCCAATCGAAGACAGGATAAAAAAAATTAAGGTTGGTCCATGAGAAATGATGAATTACTTATCGGCATTTTATCATTTAATGTTGAAAGCCTGACCCCTGTGCATTCTTAGATAAAGTTGTTTCCA